GAAGTGATGGATAAATGCTTTTTCTTCATTAAGTGTTCAGCCCCTGGCTAAGCTGAGGGAGGGGAGTACAAAGAAAGGCCAAAATCAGGCTGTGGCCCAGAGGCTGCCCGGCTGGGGTCGTCCATCCTGCAGTTCAGGTGTCCCGAGGCTTCAGCTTTCTCACAAGTGGACTCGGGGAGGGGCATCTTCCTCCTGGGGTCCCCTGGGCACGGGCTGAGCTCACCGCAGGGTGGCACAAAGGCTGGGCTCAACTGGTCCTGAGGAGGGAGGGGCCTCCACTCCAGCCTTGAGGCTGTTGGGGTTCAGCTGGGCATAGGTCACTTCCTGAGGGTCTTCCCTTTTGGGAGCCTGGCAGGAGGAGATGGAGGGATGGAGTGGGACATGGGACAGGAGGACCTGAACCCTCCCAGCTGTGCAGGGCCCTGGGGAAGCCTTTCCCTCCCTGTTCCCTCCAGAAGGAGAGATGTGTGAGTGACTCACGGCTATGTCCTCCTGTCTGGCCTCCTCTGTCTGTCTGTCATCATTCCCAGCAGCATCTGGAGGCAAGGGGAGAAGGCATGAGGGGTCAGGACCAGGGTCCTCCCTCTGGCCCCCCAGGCCCCCTGCCCCTGCCCCTCTCACTCACCTGGGGTCTCCTCCAGGGGGGTCCCAGCTGGGTCAGAGCTGGGGGACAAGAAGGCACAGAACGTTGAGGGGGAGGGTCTGGGAAGGTGGGCAGGTGCGCTGGGGGCGGGTCTAGGGGCAGTCGGGGTGTGTGTGGGGCCCTACCTCCTGGTGGTCTTCCTGACCTCTGCCTGGCTGCCTCCATTCCCTGTAAGGAGAGTGAGTCAGGGTTTAGTGGGGCTCAGCTCATGCCCCATCGGGCCCTCAGCCCAGGTGACCCCCAGCCCCAAGAACTCACTGAGTCTGGCCTGATGTCCACGGCGTCGATGGTGGAAGAGGAGGAGGAGGAGGAGGGAGGACAGGATGAGAAATACTGAGACTCCGTCAGGATGCCTGCTGTGCGCCCTGGGGAAGTCACTTAACCTCCACCTCAGCTTCCTTATTAGTAAAATTGGGATAACAGCAGCACCTCCATCACATGGTGAGTGAGTAAAGGAGGATTTCAAGAAAGACATCTTGTAGGAGGTGAGCCTTGGGAGCACATGTCAGGGGTGGGACACAGCTTGTGCAAAGGTCCAGAGGTGGGAGAAGGGGAATAAGGATGAGGTCAGAGAAGACGGAAACCTAGACCCTGGCTGCAAGCTCAGTCCCCTGCCTTTGTCTAACCTGCAAGGGAAATCCTTCGGTGACTCGCTGAAGATCGTGTACCCAGGGGAAACTCAGAGCTGGCTGGAGGGTCTGGAAATCTGGGTGTGAGCCCCTGCCCTGTCTGGGCCTCACTTTCCCATCTGTAAAATGGGAGCCTGGACAAGTGGGAGGGGGTGAGGGTCGAGAGTCCTCCTGCCTTCCTGCGTGCGCTGAGAGTCTGGCTACCTAAAGGCGGGGAGGATGGTAGAGCCTGGGGCTTCCTGTAGAAGAGAGAGAACCCCTGCAGCTGCTGCCATCCTCCAGGTGCTCCAGGTGCTTTGTTTGCGCAAAAACTTTTTAATTTAATGCAATCAAAGTCATCTGTTTCGCATTTCATAATGTTCTCTGTCTCTTGTTTGGTCATAAATTCTTTCCTTCTCCATAGATCTGATAGGTAAACTATTACTTTCCTCCCTAGTTTGCTTATAGTATCAGTCTTTATATCTAAATTGTGTATCCATTTTGACTTTATCTTGATTTAGAGTGTACGATGTTGGCCTATACCTATTTTCTGCTGTACTATTTTCCAGTTTTCCCAGTAGTTTTTGCTGAATAATGATTTCTTATCCCAGAGGCTGGAGTCTTTGGATTTATCAAATTAGTAGATTGCTACAGTCATTGACTGTTGTGTCTTGCATACCTAACTTATTCCTCTGATCCATCACTCTATCTCTTATCCAGTACCGAGTAGTTTCTTTTTTTTTTTTATCAGTGTTAAGTGACTTGCCCAGGGTCACACAGCTAGGAAGTGTTAAGTGTCTGAGGCCGGCTTACTGGAGTAAGTACTTACTGGGTCTGTACTTTATCTACTGCGCCACCTAGGGGCCCCCAGTGCCAAGTAGTTTTGATGATTGCTGTTTCATAATACAATTTAAGATTTGGTACAGCGAGGCCACCTTCCCTTGCATTTCTTTTTATTAATTCCCTTGATATTCTGGATCTTTTGTTCTTCCAGATGAATTTTATTATTGTTTTTTCTAGCTCTATAAAATAATTTTTTGGTAGTTTGATTGGTATGCCACTGAACAAGTAAATTAATTTAGGTAGAATTGTCATTTTTATTATATTACCTTGGCTTACCCATGAGCAGCTGATATTTTTCCAGTTATTTAGATTTGATTTTATTTGTGTGAAAAGTGTTTTGTAATTGTGTTCATATAGTTCCTGGGTTTGTTCCTGCAGGTAGACTCATAGATATTTTATAATGTCTATAGTAACTTCAAATGGAATTTCTCTTTCTATCTCTTGCTATTGGGCTTTGTTAGTAGTGTATAGAAATGCTGATGATTTGTGTGAATTTATTTTATATATTGTAACTTTGCTAAATTTGTTTATTATTTCAAGTAATTTTTACTTGATTCTCTAGGATTCTCTGAGTCTACACCATCACATCATCTGCAAAGAGTGATAGCTTTGTTTTTAACTTGTCTACTCTGATTCCTCCAATTTCTTTTTCTTCTCTTATTGCTACAGCTAATGTTTCTAGCACCATATTGAATAACAGCGGTGACGATGGACGTGTTTTATTATTTCTTGATATAACATCATTTGCTTCCTCTTGCCCAGTTCTAGTTTTTAGGGAATCGTTTTCTTGATTAAGGTTCTGGATTTCCTTTTCCAGTTGATTGACTTTCTTTTCATAATTTTCTTGGTTTTCTGGGATTGTTCTTATTTTTTTTTTCTAATTTTTCCTCCATCTCTTATTTGATTTATCTCAAGTCCTTTTTAAGTTCTTGCTAGAACTCTTTTTGGGCAGGTAGCCACTTGCCAATTTTTTGTGGGTGGGAGAGCCTTTCTCTTTTCTTTTTTTTTTGCTTCGGTATCCTTCCCTGAAAACGAACCCTGGTCTTCTGTATTCCCATAGTAGCTGTCTATGGCTGGGTTCTTTCTCCTTTGCTGGCTCACTTTTAGGTACCATTTTTAGCAGCTCTTTGTTGTAATCCCCTCCAGTGTGAGGGATGGTGCCTCTGGTCTCGGGTCCTTCTTGCTGTTATTTTTTGAGGTTTGTCCAGAGCCAGCCTCGGCACTCCTTTCCTCTCCAAGCCACAGCCAGGGCCGCCCTGCACACTATGCTGGAAATGCCTTTGCTCCCTGAGGACCACCCAGTGGCTGAAACCTTCTGTTCTCCCCTCTGGCCTGGAACCCAAAACAAGAACTCAGCTCTCCTGGAAGTGGCCACAGCCCGCTACCCGCTGCTTCTGCACTCACTGGTCACGTGCTGGTGGGCAGCACCCCTTCCTCTGGTCAGATGTCCAACCTGCCGCACCGTCTGTGAGGTGAGCACTCCTGGCAGCCAACCCAGCTGCCCCAGGGCTGGTTGTTTGCTGTCCTCAGGCCCAGCCTTCTTCCTCAGGGTCCCTCCTCGGCTCTTCTCTGGTCGTCCCAGGAGGACACTGCTCTGCCCCGACTCTTCTTTACTTTTGCAGCTCTACATTGACCCTGAGGCGCTATTTTGTCTTGTTTGTGGAGGAAATCAGGAGAGCTTGGAATTTTGGGACCTACACTGCCAGCTGACTCTCGTTCTATACGCAATGTTTTCCTTTCCACAGCCCTGGGAAGTAGGGAGGGCTGATAGTAGCACCCTCACTTTCCAAGAGAGGCTGAGACCCTGAGAGTTTTCAGTGATCTGCCCGTGGTCCCTCTGCACATCCCTCCCCCGGCCTCTCTTCTCCAAGGCCCCCTCCTTCTGGTGCCTGCGTGTCCACCGCAAGGCCAGATGTCTGGAGGCCGCCCCTCTGCCAGCCCCGGCCCCCAGGCCTTCCTCCTGGCATGTTTGGGGCTCCGGCCTTCTTGTCCCCTAGGTTCTCTCTCCAGGCTGGTCTCCCTGCTTCCCAGGAGGACTTTCCCCCGGCCACAGCTCTGCCCCTCCACAGCCATGGTGACGGTGATCCAGAGAGCCTGGGGGTGCAGGGTTCTGCCCCCAGCTCTGAGCTCTCTCCCTTCCTCGGCGTTTTTTTCACACCCACTTTGGGGGACATTTTGAGCTTCTTTGCTTGAATTGATGGCTTGGTTTTCCAGGAACATCCCCCCTGAGGGGCCAGATGGGGCAGGGGGAGGAAGAGGAGAAGGGCAGGCCAGGCCAGGCCCCTTCCCCTCTCTGGAGGTGGCACCCCCCCTCCCTGATAGCAGTTCCATCCTGCACTTGGCCCAGAGCCTGTGACCACGGAGGGGCCTAAGCCACGCTTCTAGATTGATGGATGGACTGACCTGGGCATCCACAGGCCCCTCAGCACCCCCTCTGCCCCCTTCCCCCCTCCCCAGAAGGAAACGCTCTCCCCTTTAGGTGTGGTCAGCCCCGTTAAAGCGTGAGCTCCTGGAGGCCAGGAGCCCCCACATACTCTCTCTCTCATCTCTCTCTGTCTCTTTTACTCTTTTAATATTTCATCTTTGTGCTTAACACAGTACCCAGTCTGTAGTCTCCACTCATTACATCTGCAAAAAGTGGATTCAGTCATTCATTCACTCACTCATTCACTCACTCATTCATTCACTCATTCACTCACTCACTCATTCACTCACTCACTCACTCACTCACTCACTCATTCAGTCATTCACTCATTCACTCACTCATTCA